ACTTCAAAGAGCTAGGAAAGCAAGAACAAACCCAAAATTAGTAAAAGGAAAGAAATAGATCAGAGCAGAACTAAATGAAATAGAGACTAAAAAAAATACAAAGGTCAATGAAAAAAAAAAAAGGTAGCGTTTTGAAAGATAAACAAAAATTAGCTAGACTAACCAAGAAAAAGAGGGAAGATTCAAATAAATAAAATCAGAAATGAAAAAGATGACATAGCAACAAATACCACAGAAATATAAAGAATCATTAGAGATATAATGATTTCTGTATGAAAACTGTATTAGCATACAGTTTTCAACAATTGTATGCTAATACATTAGAAAACCCAGAGAAAATGAATAAATTCCTGGATACATAAAACCCACCAAGCTTGAACTAGAAAGAAATAGAAAACCAAACACACCAATAACAGGTAATGAGATTGAATCAGTAAAAAAAAAAAAAAAAAAATCTCCCATCAAAGAAAAGCCCAGGACCAGATGGTACTGCTGAATTATACCAAAATTATAAAGAACTAATATCATTTTTTTCAAACTATTCCAAAATATGGAAGAAGAGGATATTCTTCCTAATTTATTCTATGAAAGCAGCATTATCTTGATATCAAAACCAGATAAGGATACAGTGAAAAAAGAAAAGAGCAAGCCAGTATCTCTGATGAACATAAATACAAAATCCTCAACATAGTACTATCAAACCAACTTCAGAAACACATCAAAGAGATAATACATCATGAGCAAGTGAAATTTATTGCTGGGATATTAGGATGGTTCAACATCAATAAATGTGATATATTTCACATCAGCAGAATGAAGGACAAAAACCATATGATCATAACAATAGATGCAGAAAAAGCATTTGCTAAAATTCTATTTTTCTTCATGACAAAAACTCTTAATAATTTATGCATAGAAGGAATATACTTCTATGTAATAAAGTCCCTATACAGCAAACCCACAGCTGACATCATACTGAATGGAGATAAGAGGAGAGTCTTTCCTTTAAGAACTGGAATAAGACAAGAATGCCCACTTTGACCATTCTTATTCCACATAGTACTAGAAGTTCTAACCAGAGCAGTCAGGCAGGAAAAAGAAATAAAAGTCACCCAAATCAGAAAAGACGAAGTCAGGTTAGTCACTCTTTGCAGATGACATGATCTTATATAGAGAAAAACCTTAAGACTTCACCAAGAAAAGTCTTAGAACTTACAAAGTAATTCAGTAAAGTTTCAAGATACAAAATCTCAACATATGAAAATCAGTAGCATTTTTATACACCAATAATGAACTAGCTGAAAAATAAATCAAGAAAACAGTCTTATTTACAATAGCTTAAAAAATACTGACGAATAAATTTAACCAAGGAGATGAAAGATCTCTGCAAGAAAAACTACAAAACACTGATGAAAGAAATTGAAGATGACACCAAAAAAATGGAAAGATTCCTGCTCATGGACTGAAAAAAAATCATATTGTTAAAATGACAATACTACCTGATATGGTTTGGCTGTGTTCCCACCCAAATCTCATCTTGAATTGTAGCTCCCACAATTCTCATGTGTCATGGGAGGGACCCAGTGGGACCTAACTGAATCATGGGGTCACTTTCTCCCATATTGTCCTCTCATAGTGAATAAGTCTCAGGAGATCTGATGGTTTTATAAGGGGAAACCCCTTTTGCTTGGCTTGCATTCTTTCTTGTCTGCCACCATGTAAGACATGCCTTTCATCTTTCACCATGATTGTGAGGCCTCCCCAGCCACATGGAACTGTAAGTCTATTAAACCTCTTTTTCTTTATAAATTACCCAGTCTCAGGTATGTCTTTATCGGCAGTGTGAAAACATTAATACAATCTACAGATTTAATGCAATAACATTATACCAATGACATTTTTCACAAAGGAAAGGAAGTCAGTCAAAGGGATAACTGTGCCCCTATGTTTACTGCAATACTATTTAGAGTAGCCAAGATATGGAATCCACCTAAGACTATATCAACAGATGAATGGATAAAGAGAAGGTGGTGTGTGTACACAGTGGAATACTATTCAGCCATAAAAGAATGGAATCCTGTCATTTGCAGCAACATATATGAAACTGGAGGTCATTATGTTAAGTGAAATAAGCTAAAAGTAGACAAATACTATATTCTTATTCATATGTGGAAGCTTAAAAAGTTGATCTCATGGAGGTAGAGAATAGAATGATAGTTACCAGAGCCTGGGAAAGATTCAGGGGGATGGAGACAAGTTGGTTAATGGGTACTAACATGTAGAGATGAAACAGCTTTTAGTGTTTGATAGCACAGCAGGGTAAATACAGTTAACAACAATATATTGTCTATTTCAAAATGGCTAGAAGAGAAGATATGAAATGTTTCCAACCCAAAGAAATGATAAGTGTTCAAGGTGATGTATATTCTAAATACCCTGATTTGATCATGCTTGTATCAAAATATCACATGTACCCTATAAATATGTACAATTATTTTGTACCAATAGAACATATTTCTAAACCTTCAGTGGCTCCCAATTGCCGGTAGCAGAAGTTTGCAGTTGTTCTCCCTTTTATGACAAGCAAGGGTGACAGATGATAGATACTGTTCATCTGAGCAGCTCCATTCACATCCACTTCTATGCCTAGGATTATTTGCAAATTCAGGCACACCAGCTGTCATTCTGCCCACCTTCTCTCCAAAAGGCATATCACAATACACATGAGTGACAATGACATTTTCATATGCTCTAAAATATTTCCAAAGCAAATTATTCCCTGACTCTGTGCTTTACTGCTGCTAATAAAGTACTTGTAATGTGCCTCAAAATTTTCAGTAGAGGTCAAGACACTACACACTATATGATCATTGTTAAATCCAGGCTCTTTATGTGGTATCAGTACATTTTCCAGTCTAAACCAGATCTCAGGGTCAGCTAATCCAGTCCCCAGCCCCCCATTCCACCCAGCATACACATGTATCCTTTCCTGATTATTTTTAAAAATCTTAAAACACATTTTGCAATTACAAACATCCTCACTTTTATTCTTTTTGACAAAAATATTATCTGCCCACTTCTACACTAGATGAATTCCACCTTACCTTTAAGTGCAAACACAAATGTTTGTTCCCATGGGAAACCTTTTAAGTAGACCTTAATCCTACCCTATCCCAGCCCTAGCCTTGGGAAGGATTCTGGGCCCTCTCCTATATTCCTGTACTACTTTGTATCAAGTATTGAGTTCCTGGGTTTTTAAAACATTTCATTCTGTCATATTCCTATCCTATTATAGCCCTATTATATTTGTTTATTTACTAAGACCAAAAACCACATTTTATTCCTTTGCATTCCCAGATTCTACCATAGTACCTTGCACAGAAAATACGCTTAGGAAATAGTTGTTGAAAATGCTTAAGCAAAAAAGAAAAAAAAAGGAAAGAAAGAAGATGCTTCAGCAAAGGTTGAACTAATCTGGGCATCCTACTGTTCTATGTTTTGTTAATTTTTATTAAAGAAAAAATTAAAGTACAAAGTTTAAAATATTTTGGGTGAAAATGTACTTTTTCTTTTCTGTAGTTGACAGAATTATTTTGAAGTGCTTGTTCTCACAGAAGCATCCTCTCAGGTTTTCATAGCTGATCATATAAGCTTTGAGCTTCTCTTTCTCCCCCCAGTCTTTAATGTCTGCCTTTGAGGATTTCACTGCATGTTGCCATATCCTTCAGAGAGTGGCAAGGAGGAATGAGACTGAAATTGCTGCTTTTCTTCTCAGAATCTTTGTTGAAGCATTTGGGAGGGAAAGAAATGTCAATGCTGATATAATAGCTTTCACAGTGATCTTCATAACTCTATATCCTCAATTAGTACAGATATATACATTGTCCCCCTTTATCCATGGGCATGTTTATAAAAGGGATTAACACAAATGAGGCTGGCTGTGGTGGCTCACACCTATAATCCCCATGCTTTAGGAGCCTGAGGCAGGAGGATCACTTGAGCCCAGGAATTGGAGACCATCCTGGGCAACACAGTGAGATGCCGTCTCTGGAATAAATTGTTTTTTTCAATTAACTGGGCATAGTAGTGCACACCTATTGTCCCAGCTACTCAGGAGACCAAGGTGGGAGGATTGCTTGAGCTCAGCAGATTGAGGCTATAGTAAGCTGTGACCATGCCACTGCATTCCAGCCTGGGTGACAGAGTGAGACCCTGTCTCAAAACACCCACACATGCAAACCCAGATATTCTCTGAAGATAAATATATTCTGATCAGAAATAAGAATAATTTGGAAATCATTCATTTACAGAGTTTCTGTCATTTTTTTTCTTCTCTCATTTTAGGAAACCAAATACGGGAACAGTGAAAGAATCCTATTCTTATAGGGTCACTGAAGTTAGGAGAATGAGATTGATATCTTAGTTCTGTGTAACAAGGAATCATCAGTGAAGGGTTTGTTAGGGAGGCTATTTTATATTGAATATCCAGAATTTACTCAGGAGATGATAGATTACATAGATAGATAGATAGATAGATAGATAGATAGATAGATAGATAGATAGAGGAAAGGGACAGAGGAACACAGAGTGCCAGGCTTATTGCCCATTCTTCCTATTTATTTAAAACATTTAAAAGCTTTGTATTAAAATGTCATGTATGTTGTTGTATTTTCCAAAGAGAGTAAAGAAAGAATCTTGTTGAGAAGAAGGCCATCTCAAATTTACCCTTTAATGACTTGACTTAGCTGGCTTTACAGGCATCTTGTCAAAAGGAAAAGAAAACAGTCCTAATCCAAGTTCCCAGTCACTTCATTTCATCACTCAGAAAGTTACTTGGAATGTGCATGTGGTATAATTTATGTAGAGCATGGCTTGATTGTCTTTTTTTATTTCTTTGTATCTAGTGATGTTATTGCATAAGCTTCTTGTAACTATTGTGAATCCTCACGAGGCAATTCGACCTTTCCTTTTTACACTAAATATGTGGATATATCTTTTAGATTTCCACATGGAAGAGGCACTGGATTGGCCTGGAGTATACTTGTTGCCAGGCCAGGTTTCTGGGGTGGCTCTAGACCCTAAGAATAACCTGGTGATTTTCCACAGAGGTGACCATGTCTGGGATGGAAAGTAAGTAATATTTTTTCTTCAATAAGCAAATGAAAATAAATATAGTGTACATAATTTTTTCATTAAACTAAGAATAATGGTGAGAGAACTATAAAGGTTTTTCAGAATTTGATTTTATGGCAAAATGTATTTGTCCTTTTAACATCTGACTGTAGTAAGTAGCAGAAAGGAAGTCTTGTGTGCTTTAAAACAAAGTAGTTTCACGAAATAGTTTATGGAAAGAAGACAGTAACAATTTGTGATTCTACCCACTTACCATTTTGCTCCTTCCTGTTATCTATCTATAACATTAAAGATAGTTAAGTCAGTACCTTAGTGAAAATGTTCGAGACTTCAAGGAGAGTGCTCATGATAAGCGATCAACTAAGAAAGGTTGCTGGTTGACTATAACACCCTTTTGTTATTTTCATGTCCTGGGTGCAGAACTATGCCAAGACCTTTGTCCTGGACAGTGTGGTTGGGGCAGTTTGGCCAGTACACGTGAAGAAATAGTAACTTGGCCTTCAGGTTTTAATATAGACTAATTTTATTACTCAAATTTGCTCTTTTCATGAGCATCAAAGACTTAAGAATAACTCTAGGACTGTCTGTTACTCCTGCTTTATCCTCTGGATTTTCCTTTCCTACCTTCTTAGAGGGATTTTTAGTAAAAACATCAAACAGTTATTGAGTGTGTCCTCTGAGTTACCATCATTATTCAGGTTTCCCAGATGTAGAAACCAAAAGAAGTTAAGTACTGTGCCCAAATTAGCAAGCGGCAAAGCCAGGCTTCAGTAGCTTCCCATCTAACTCCAGATGGCCTACGTAGCCACTTTACAATACTGCTTTTAATAGAATTGTAAGCATGGTCATGATTGTATTTTTAAAAGCTTGCCCCACAATTTAGCAGGTTATTTTAATTCTTATAAGGAATGAATATCCATTTATTCATTTATTTCAATACAAATGTACATAGGGAGATACATTTTAAAATCTTTTATCTATTAAATCTAATGTATCTTGTCTTTTTATATGTATAACTCTGGGGTGTCATTTGGAAAATTGAGGATCTACATGTATAGTTCAGTTGGTCTTCTCCAGTTTCAGAGATGTTGATTAAATTTATGTTAAACCTGGTTCTGTCACATATTCATATGTCAAATTTTCTTTGTGCAGTTGAAGACGGAATTCAATCAACGTTTCAGAATAGATTGGTAGCTTTGTTACTGTTTAATTGTCCTTTCCAGTTGTCATACTTGAAAATGGAATCTGAAAAAGATCACTTCAGAGTTCAAAGTAAATAATCAAACTCAACATTCTCATTCATACATCTCTGTTACATCGTCTTAGTCATTATTGAACATCTAATGGTATTTTAACAAGTGCTTTTAAAAGCAAACTATTACTATTCATGGTACTTATTCTTCATTTTAATGAATATTGCTACATTTTCTGCATGGATTTCTAGCCACATTTTACCAGAGGAGAAAATTACAGCATCATTTTCTCCCATTGATACTGTTTCAGCTGGCTAAAGCTAAACTGGACAAAGGCCAATTTTCCATTTTAATGTGATATTCATTTCCATGTAAACAGCAGAGACTGGAATAGTTTAATAGAAAAAGGGATCTGTAAAGTCCAGTTTAGGGTGGGAGATGAAATAAGACTACGAAACAGGAACCACCTAAGAGCTTTTTCTGTGGCTTATCTGGCTGTGCTAGCATCTAGGTAACCAGGATCCTATGGAAATAGATTCTGGTTTCACTGGCAAAGCCCCAGAGTATTTGCCCTGATACATGACATCTATAAAGGAGTGCAGTTGAACATGCAAGATGTCTTCAGAGAAAACTGCTGATTTTACTCACTAAATCTCTGTTTCTTCTTTCTTCTTCATCTTTGTCTTTCAGATGTAAAACTATTTTTTCTCTCTCCTTCTCCCTTCCTGGTATTGCCTGTTGCCCCTAGCAGATTTTGCAATCCATGGTTGTAAGGAAATTCTTTTCTGGCCCTCAGCTCTCTGAGTAGACTTAGAAGTAGATTACTCTGTTAGCTATTTTTTAGGAAAATACATTTGGATTTGTTCAAAGAACAAATTAAATTCAGGTTCTGTTCTTTGAATGGTAATGCATGGCCATCATTCCTAAGTCACATTCTATAAATTGGATGAAGTACATAGTTTTGGGGTTTTTTTGGCCTTCATTAAAAATCCAAGGATTATACAAAGATAACGTACCTTCCTGTGGAATTTATAATGTACAGGTGAGGGACAATACAAATTAAAAATTAGTTGGAAATTGCATTCTTCTTGTTACCACTGTTTGATAGTGACAAATCCTATATTAGTTTTCCTTGAAATATTTCCCATTCTGATATTTCTGAGGTTCACAAAATTGTAGGTTCTGTAAGACCAGGGCATATTCTAAATCACATTGAAGCACATTATATCCCATAGTTCATAAGATGTGCTCATTCTTTAAATATCAGACAGTACTTGGAGTTAATAATAATTCCTAATTAATACTCAGTACCCAAAGCTCCTTTGATATCATTGTGTCAGCTGTCTTCATCCGTACTATTATTCTTCATTCCCACCTGGTTACCCTGATCAGCCCTTATTCTTTGACTTAACCACACTAAATATACATGGCAACCAAAATTATAATGATGATAAACCTCTGACCTCCTGAAAGATGATAGTCACTCCCCTTCTCAATTTGATTTCCATTTTTCTCCCTTACTTCAATATTGCTACTTTAACAAGCTTCTCTTCTAGCTGAAATAAGAAATGCCTATTGCCAGCAGGGTATAATGAAACTTTAAAGAGTCTCTTGTCTGCCCTGGTGTTAGGGCAGCATGGCAGCTAGAGCTCTTTAAAGTTTAAATGCTTCCCAGCAGGAGCTGGGTAGCTTTTGCCTCAGTAATAGCTGTTCCTGAGTTTCTGTCTTAAAATCACCACCGCACTCAAAGTGCTTCTTGGCCTTTCTTTCATGTATCTGAGCTATGGTTGGGGTGTACTATGCAGAACTCACATCATATACCCACTTAACTTAACTATGGGTCTTGCCCCTAACTTATAGACGTTAGAAGTTACATTTCTTATTTCATTTATCATTTGTTCACATGGAGTTGGAAGGGATCTTGGAAGTAATATAACTTCAGATTCTTTCTGTTACAAATAAGAGAGAAAACTCAATATAAACTAACTTAGGAAAAGAGAAAATTAGTTCGTATAAGTGAAAACTTCAAGGAATATAGTAGCCCAATTACATCATCAGGATCGATTTTACAGCTCATTTTTTCTGTAGGGTGGCTCCATTTCCAGTCCCTGATTCATTCTGTTGCTCCTCTCCATTTGCAGGTTTGATTCACATTATCATCCTAATGTCACAGAAGAGAGAGTCTATAAGCCTGATAAGTCAACATAAACTCACTAAAATTAGTTTTTGTAGCATTCCTTGGTCTGACTTAGATCGTGTCTCATTGCACAGTAAACCAATTATTTTGGGCAGAGGAATAAAATTGAGTCTGTGGCTTAGCCTGAGTCTTTTGTTCTACCCACGAAACGTGGGAGTAGAGTCAACATTATCTGAAGCAGTGGGCTGAGAGTGGAGCTCAAAATGTTGGGTCAACTAAAAAAGGTGAGGTTTCGTTATCACAAAATGGAACAATAAACACTGTACACCCAAAACAGCAAGTGTCCATCAGGGAGCTTATCTCCAGCCTCCCACCTAATGTACACATCTCTTCTACAGCAACTTCAACCACCATTCCAGTGCTTGAATTTTTTCAGTGCCAAGAAATTCTCTAGATGAGAGACAGGCTTTCCAATTATGGGACCCATCTAGATATTATAAAGTTCTTCATTATTTTACCTAAATCTGAGTCCCATAACTTCACCTTATAGTAATGCAGGACGAATTTATTACCATTTATCCATGTCAATTATCTGCATATTTGAAGAAAGCCTTATATTTTGCAAACTAAATATTCTCCAAGCTCTCAACTAATATTCATGCTGACATGATTTATTTCATCTGAAGGAATTTTGGTTTCTCTCCCCTTTAAAGTGTTTTACCTAGAAGTGGTCACAATACCTCATGTATTATTTGATCAGTGTTACAATTAGTTCCCTTGATGTGTATTTTACATGTCTGTTAGTAGAAGAGAATTGTATTCACTTTTTTTTTTAGCAGTTATATCACTGTGTCGCCTTATGTAGAATTTGTAATCTCAAAGATCTCCAAATATATGTCAAAAATTGTGCTGATATTTTTACTGGAAGTTTATGCTTATGCAGTGTTTTAAAAACATTGAATTCAGGGCTTTATTCCAATTATGTTCCACTTTATTACATTTAGCATTGTTTCAATTTACAGATATTATTTTAATCTTAATTAGCCAGAGGATTTGTGTTAGATCTCCCAGCTTTGTATTAGGTCTCATTGATAAGTATGCCTTCTATATCTTCATAGATGCTGTTTGTAAAATTTGAATAGCTGAATGATTGGTTTTGCAAGTTTTGTTTGTAGAGAACTCATAGTCTTCTAGGAATCTTCTTCCCTCCTCCCCCCAGATAGCTCACAAACCATCTCTTTATCAATACTTTATGTAATTTTGCCAAGAGATATTGTTTTAGAAATCTGTCTGCTTCCTAACTTGTAGAAAAATCGGTTCAAGATTTGCTTCACTAGTTTTCTGGAGCCTCAGTTAACATATCTGCCTTGGTTATGCTTCAACATCTGCAATTTCTTTCCTACCTTAGGGTTTAACTGGCCCTGGAGAACAGAACTCAAAACTGTCTGTTACCTTAGTACCTTCATGTCTGAGGTAAAACTATAAGGAGTTCTACAAAAAAGAATGTTTCAGTGTTCTGTCTTTCTCATATCGCCATTTCACTTTACTGGAGCCTTTTTCTTCCAGTTTTATGCTATTTTCTCTAGTTCTTCTTGGTTGTGTGACTATTCTTCCATCTCTTCTGCAATACACATTGAATTTGATAACTGGTGGGAGATTTACCAATT